GGTAATAAGATTATGCCGCTTGCTTACATCGTAATGATAATAGAAATGATAATAATAGTAATTATGATAATCAAATGATAATAGAAATAATAATAATAATAATAATAACAAAAGTAACGATAATGATAATAATTATATTAATAATGATGATAATAATAATAATAACAACGGTAATGATAATAACGATAATGATAATGATAATAATAACACTAATAATTATGATAAGAATGATAATATTGATAATGCAGTAAATGATGATAATGGTGGTCATAATAATAAGAAAAATAATAATGATATTAATAACAATGATAATAATAATAATGATAATGATAATAATAATAATGAGAATAATAATAATAATAATAATAATAATGAGAATAATAATAATAATAATAATAATCACGACTACAGTAACATTGCTATTGATATTAATATTGATAACATTAACAATGACATTGCTGAAGATAGAAATATTATTATTACCATTTCTGGTCTAATTATTTTTGTTATTGATACTATTATATTTTATTATCATTGCTGTCACCATCATTATTATTATAATTATTATCAATATTATTGTTATTGTTCGTGTTGTTGTTATTATTACTATTGTTTTTGTTATTATTATTAGTATTATCATAATTATTTCAGGGGACAAGCCTAGGTGCGCCCCCAAGATCCTCCGATACTACTCCTATCGCTTTTCTTTCTTTCTTAAACTCTCATGAAGTAGGATATCTGGTCTGTATTGCAGTTTTCTCCAAGTTCTACCAATATGCGCAGTAGGGCCTTGTTGGTGAAAAATATTATATAATCCTTGTCTAGGCCTCTCAAGTAATATACTTTAGTGACAACACCGACTTTTTTTTCTTTTTTTCAAACGGCATTTTTGAATCAAATAACATTCATTACTCACTGGGACCTTACATATTAGACTGCCTTAAACCCGCACGTGGGTAGCACTGCACTACTTCCTGGCGGTTAAATATATACATATTCACATGGCGGGTCATCTCTATGGTTAAGGAACCAGCTCCATGCTTTCTGACAGGCATTAGGAAAGAAGACTGCAAAACGAAAATGGAAATTATAGCTTCTCGAATATATTAGTTGTTCTGAATTTGTAAAACTGGAAAGGGATTACTAATACCTTGGACCTTGGACCCCCTTTCCTTTTTCTTCTCTTCTTTATCCCCTTCCTTCCACTTCCACCGAATCGTTAACTCATTTTTACCCTTTATGCCACAATACTTTATCACAGGCCTATTTGACCTTTAATGTTTAGCACATTTTAACCATTAATCATTATCATAATCATTGTGTGTGTGTGTGTGTGTGTGTGTGTGTGTGTGTGTGTGTGTGTGTGTGTGTGTGTGTGTACATATGTGTGTTTGTATGTGGTTGTGTGTGTGCGTGTTTGTGTGTGTGTGTGTGTGTGTGTGTGTGTGTGTGTGTGTGTGTGTGTGTGTGTGTGTGTGTGTGTGTGTGTGTGTGTGTGTGTGTGTGTGTGTGTGTGGGAATATACATATATAGATATGCAAATCATCATCAGCAGCAGCCTATGTCAATCCACTGTAAGACGTAGGCCTCTTCCAATTTTTTCCAACATGCACATGCATACACACATCTAGACATATGCGCACACCATATGTGCATACATATGTGTATACGCTCCCACATATATTTGAACACACACATACATACATATCTTGTACACGTACTTATGACTATACATACACACATATATATAAAGCCATGCATATGCTTACGCACACGTGTATGCGCACATACGTTTGTGAGTACACATTAGTGTTCACCCAAATATATAAGTATACACCCACCATGCACTTATATATACACATATACGTATATACATACATATAAATACTCATACACAAATACATAAATACATACACATATACACACACATAAACATATACATACATATACATACACAGACACACACCCATATACATGTATATATATATATATATATATATATATATATATATATATATATATATATATATATATATATATATATATATATATATATACATACATATACACATATACGAATATATACACACAAACCTACACATATGCATACATATTCATACATATGCACATGCACGCACATACATACACATATATATACATACACACATGAATATATACATATATATGCACAAATATACATACACACATGAATATATACACATATATGCACAAATATGCATACACAAATGAATATATACAAATATATGCACAAATATACATATCTACATGTATATGTATATATATATATATATATATATATATATATATATATATATATATATATATATATGTACTATATATATATATATATATATATATATATATATATATATATATATATATATATATATATATTCATATATTCATATATTCATACACACACACACCTGTTTCCCCTCATGTACAAGCACAGGAACATACATATACATTATGTACTCTTACACCTAATTATGCGTATATATATAGCTGTATATAACCATGTACACATGCCCTACATACACATACCCGACATTTATGAGATAAGGCTTCGGGTGTCAACCCTAAGTTAGCAAGGCAGTTTATTCTCGCTTGCGACCTTGTTCTGGAAACTCCTGCGATGCTGTAATGAACCATAAGAAAATAGAATGTTATTAAGGGGGTCCCAAGCAATTCGTGGCAGGGCTGAACCCCTGAAATCTACACTTGTGACCACCAGG